GATCTAATTTTAGCTTAGGAAAACAAAAACAAACCAGATTGCTGTCTCACAATCTTCCTGTTTCATATGGGAAAGGAATTATGAGTTAATCTCTAGTAGTTCACTAACATGCTAACAGGTACTTGGTTTTACCTACCATACAAACTCTTCTTTCTCTGACTCCCCTTCCCTCTTTCTTATCTTCTGCACAGGAACAATAAGTTACCGTACTAACACATTTCTTCCTACTTTTCTCAACTCTCAGATAACAGAGAGATGATATTTTGGAATAGATTTTTTTTTTATGTATGATGATTTAGGTATGTTCACATATGTGAAATATGTACATAAATAATATTAATCAGCTTTTAAAGGGCTTTTACATTTTTTGGGGGGGCTTTTACATTTTAATATGGTGACCCTAAAAATGAATACAAAGAAAAATAACTGAACCAAATGATGTCTCAAGATTCTTATTCAGATGATATCGGGCGCGTTCAGGGTGGTATGGCCATAGACAAGATTCTTATTCACAGATGAAGATAAATCATCTAATAGCTAACACTGATGCCAAGGAACTAACAAGAGGCAATTTAACAGATGAGGAAATGCTAAGTGTAGCAAGAAGGATAAATCTAGAAGCTGGGAGACAAATTAGGTGAATGTCACCATGTGCACACAACTACAGTGATTTTTTTCCACAACGATGAAATGATATCCCAAATACTGAAGTGCAAATGACTAGAATAACACCTATCAGAATCAGAATTATTACCTCCAAATCTAAAAAGCAAGTATATGAACACTTGCTTTTAAAATAGCTATTTGTATCTTAAAGTATTGCTTAAACAGTATTTTCTTTTTTTTCTTTTTTTTTTTTTTTTTTTGGTACACAGGCCTTTCACTGTTGTGGCCTCTCCCGTTGCGGAGCACAGGCTCCGGACGCGCAGGCTCAGCGGCCATGGCTCACGGGCCCAGCCGCTCTGCGGCATGTGGGATCCTCCTGGACGGGGGCACGAACCCGCATCCCCCGCATCAGCAGGTGGACTCTCAACCACTGCGCCACCAGGGAAGCCCGCTTAAACAGTATTTTAAAATGCATAATTAATGTTTAACTTATTGAATAGTATTTAACCAGGAACATTACTTTCAATTTAGCCTTGTATCTGCTAGAAATACGTTTGGCTCCATTATTTTCACGGAGGTTAGAGATATCATCACTGTATTCTCTTAGGTACTATCAAAGTCGGACGTACTTTTGATTTCCTCTCCCATTTTCTGCCATTCTTCTACGAGTATACGGTGAGTGATACATCGGCAATACCAGAACGACATATATTTGATTCATATTTGACTCAGTACGTACCTACGTAAAATCGCTTCCTGAGGTACCTCTTTGGCTATTCACTGACTGGTACCTAGATCATTCTCTCTTGCTTAACAAGAACCACAATAATGCCAGGACCACTATTAGGAGGAAGTATTAGGTACTGCTGTTAAATTGAGAATAATGTCTTATTCAAACACTTGTGTTTTAGGTACAAACAGAAAGGCAACTAGAAGTTGCTGTCCAATATGGTGGGAAAATATGAAGTTAAATAAAGAAAATTGAAATTGTACTAAATTAAAACAGAACATGTGACAGAAAGGCAGGCACAAATGAGTTGGGCCTTGTAGGCTATAGTGGAGTCATGAGAGGGTTTCAAGTAGAGGAGTTAAATGATCCAACCCACATTTCAGTAGCCATTTCTGTGGCTGCTGTGTTGGAAGCAAACTGAACAGGTTACTACAATAATACAGGTGAGAGACGAGGGTGGTAGTAGATGAGTGAAAAGTGGTTTTATTTCTGATATGAAGGATCAAGAGCATTTGTTGACACATTAGATGTGGGGTTATGAAGACAGAAGGAGTCAAAGAAAACCTTCAGGTTTATTGCCTAAAGAACTGGAAGCACAAAGTTGTCCTTTCTGAAATGAGGAAGAATACCAAGTATCAGAAATTTATCTCAGACGTGTTAAATTTGATATGTTTATTAACCGTCCTAGTAAAGGTGTCAAGTAAACTGATATGAGTACACAGTCAAGTAGAAATACGGGTTTAAGACATAAATCAGAGTGTACTGGATGGTATCTTAGTCATGAGACTAGACGAAATCCCCAAAAGAATAAGTACAGACAAAAAAAAAAGAGAAGACCTGGGGCATTCCAAAGTTTAGAGGTTAGAGAGATGTGAAAGATCCAACAAAAGAGATGAAGAATTTGCCAGAAATGCAGCAGGGGGGAAAAAAATTAGATAATGTACTTTCTGAAAGCAAAATAAGAAAATGTTTCAAAAAAGAGAGGCATCAAGTATTTTAAGTTTTAATGCTAGGTGTAGTAGGATGAGGATGAGATCTGACCTGTCAATTTAATCATGGTAGAATGGTAAGGGTGAAAGCCTGATTAGCTTTCAAGTGGATTCAAGAGAGCATGGAAAGAATAACTACAATATTAAGATTAGACAACTCCTTCAAGGAATTTTGCAGTAGGAGGACAGAAATGGGATTGTAGAGAAGAGAAAGTAAATTCAAAAGAAGATAATTTAAACATGGAAAAATTAACAGCATGCTTGCTGGCCTGTAGGAAAGCTACAGTGGAGATCCACACCCACTCCCCACCCACAAAAAAAGCAATAAAGAAAAAGGGAGAACTGTTAGAAGCAATATCTTTGCAAAAAAAAGGATGGAATGCAGGGCACAAATGGAGAAACTGGACTTTGTAAGTAACATTTGCAGTTTTATTCATAGTAATACAAAATCTAAATTGGCACAGATGCAGCAGAGTGAGCTGACATGTATCAGGAGCACATGGAAGCTGACTGTTTCTATTTCCTCAGTTTAAAAAAAAAAAAAAAGGAAACAAAGTTATCATCTAATAGGAAAGATTGGGAAGAGGTTAGGAAGGTTTGATGAAAGAGAATATTTGAAAATAGTCATCTAGGAGACTAGGAGAGTAAATGGACCTGTGGACACACTATATGACTGCCTGGCAGCATTACAGGCTTACTAGAGGTTAATTACCATTCTGCAGTTATCTTCTGGGCTAGACAGAGAAGCTATTATTACTCACTTTTCTAAATCACTTATAAGAGTAGAGCAGGGAAAAAAATTATACTCCTCTGAGCACCGATTCCTAGGAATTGATTTCTTTTTTCCTTCTCAGGGAACTATCCGTTTAATCTTACTTTCTGATTTGTCTGCCTTGGTCATTTTAAAATAAAGCATATTTTTTTATCAAACTATTATACTTTGAAGAAACAAACTATCTAACATAGCAGTCACAAAGTAAGACTGACAATGAATGAATCTGCTGGTCAAAAGAAAAGATATATTTGTTTCCAAGCAAAATTTAGCAAAGGTAATGATGCTATATGGTAACAAGGAAAAGGGCTGAATGGCTGAGGCACGAAGAATGGATCATATGCTATACATCATCTTATATCCGGTGCTTAGTAAAGTACCTGATAATCAGCACTCAAGAAACATGCTGAATAAAGGAATGAGTAGGCGAATACATAATGAAACCTAAAGACAGAATGACAAAATATAAAGACTGATTAAAAAGACTGAAAGTAGGAGGGGAAAACATAAAAGATTGGGTTCACTGAAAGATGCAAGTCAGTGGTAAGAGTCCAAAATGATATTCTTTCAAGAGTTTCTTCTTGAAAAATACTTAATATTGCTCCCACATCTCTGAATTAGGTCTCATGAGAAAAACATACGGCAAAATTTTAAAAGTGTATTAAAAAGACAAATATTAAAAACTTTAAAAATCCCT